GCGCTGCAACTGTCGCCTGGCGACGAGCTGGCGTTAACTCCTGTCGTTGGCGACAGGAGGTATTTTATTCCGAATATGATTTTCTTTGATCCCGTGCTATGTTTCCTATAAATAGGGGTCGTATTTCCCTGTTTTTAATAATCAACAAATCATTCACAATCATCTCTCTCTCTCTAAAAGCTAGAAGCTTTCCTTCTCTCTCTATTCTTTTTCTAAACCTTCCCTCTCTCAAAATTCCTCACTCATTAGATCTAGAAACACCTAACCAAGTTCGAAGTTGCCTTCACCCTAGACGTGAAAGGTTTGATATTTCTGAGGGTTTGGTCTCAAATCTCTATTTCAATTATTTAATTTAATTGTTTTGTTATTATTTTCCTTGAAGTTACTAACGTGTGTATTTTGTTATTAGAAAGAGGTACGAGGCATCGAAGTAAATACTTTAATTGTTTTATTATTTTTTTAATATAGAAATCGTGTTTAGATTGTTTTATTGATTCCTAGTATCATGTTAGGATGTTTTATTGCTTCCTAGTATCATGTTTAGGGTAATAACTAAAATTTCTAATATCAAGTATGTTTATTATGATACTTCCTATTTCTTTCCTAATATCATGTTAGGGCTAATCGATCTTTAATGTTTAGTGACATACTAGGGTTTGTTATTAATCTTGTTAGTATCATGCCTAGGATCTTGCTATTTTTATGCTTTATTTTTAACATGATCATGATTATTTTGATGATTGATTATTGTTATGCTTACTTGATATCATATTTATTATTTATTGTTATTGCTTGATCACACCTTTTATGCATGTTTAAAGGGAATTTGTACTCGTAATCAAGCTTAATAAGATAATTAATAATCTTATTTGGGCTAATATATATGATTATAATTCAAGTGATCACCAATAATAGGTTTGTTTGTGCATTAATATTCAACAACATAGATTAAACAGGTTTAGGGTAAACGTATTGATTGCATGTTAGTCAGAAAGCGCACATGACGAATACGAGAAGAATTAAGTAGAGACCTATTTTTAGGGCAGGTTCAATCTCTTTTAGGTTGGATTTGTACCTTCATCCCCGAAATTCTAGTCATGGTTCCAGACCTATTGGAGTTACGATCTCCTGGATCGTTAAGGGGTGTAACCTTCACCCTGTGAACGGTTTACAAGTTCCTAAAACTTGTTGGCGACTCTTTACTCTAACTTCCTTTCATTTGGACGCTACCATGCTTAAGTTTATGATCACAATGAGGTTCAAGTGTGGAATGGCTTGAAATATTCCCTATAGTACTATATTTTTCTTTTGGGTTATATTATAATATTACAATAATTATTAATGAAAATGTCTATATTTATAATATTTAAGACATTTTTGTAAAAAAAAAAAAACTACCTTATACAAGTCAGTTTTTGTAATAAAGTACCTTATTAAAAAAATGTTGTAAGAACTCCTTTTAAATAATAAATATTGTAAGAAACTACCTTATAAAACTATTAATGTTGTAAAAAGTTACCTTTTGCCGAATTAATGCATTAAATAAGAGATGTTTAATGGCCCATTTTCAATCATTGTTTCTCTTTTTTCCACCCAATTTCTACATAGCCCCCTTATAACCCCTAATTCCGCTTCACTTTCATTGTTAAATTAAGCACATAGTGGCAACTTACAACATTTAGTTTTTATAAGGTAGTTTCTTACAATAATTTTTTTAAAAGATAGTTTTTCACAAAATTTGATGTATATAAGGTAGTTTTTCAAAAAAGAAATCCTAATAATTAATAAGTATTTGTATTTGTATTTGTATATCAATTTAATAGGAAAAAATTAATTTTTTTAGCATATGTTATACTATTAGTAACTGGCCTAAAGTTGTGTCAGTTACTAATAATGCACTATTAGTGATTGTCATAATCTAACACCAGTTACCAATAGTGTGTTTTTTAACATGGAAAATTGACTAGTAGTAACTGACGTTAAGTTAGACCTGTTACGAATAGTATAATATTAGTAACTAACATTAGCCAATTACGAATAATTTTCACTAGATGTACGGTGTCAATAGCAATCAATTTGCTAGTTACTAAAATTCAATTTCGCCGATTACAAATAGCATTTTTTTTTACTAGTGTTTTAATTGTTAGCTTATATGTTTCATTTTGTTGGCTGATGTATTTGTTTTGTTGGCTTACCTGTTACTTTTGTTTGTTGATTTCATTCTTTTGTTGCCTGATACATTCCTTTTGATAGCTGATATATATCTTTTGTTGGATGATATGTTTCTTTTGTTCGCTGATATGTTTCATTTGTTGGATAATATGTTCATTGTGTTGACTAATACATTTTTATTAATATTTGATATGTCCTTAATGTTGACTGATACTACCTCTGTATTTTATTAGTTGACATGTATTCTTTTTTAGAAAGTTTTTATTTAATTGACACGTTTCCTTTTTTAAGTAAGTTTTGTATAGTTAGATGACAATTATACCCCCCTTCTTTCTCTTCCCTAGACCCTTCTCTTTCCTCTCTCCTCTGTACCCATCTCTCTCCTTTGTACCAAATGAAATAAACAATCCCCCTCTCACTCCTCCAAACTCACTCTATCTATCTCCAAAATTATCAAACAACTGTAAATGAAATTTACTCCGTATAAAACATCACTGCCTCAATTATTTGCAAATTTATGAAAAAAAAAAGTCTCGTTTTTTCTACATTTCTATCTGGATCTCCACCTTCACCACTCATTATATAAAGCCGCCATTCTTGAAGTATAAAGAAGCCAAGAATCAATCATAAAAAAGGTTTTGATTATCATACAAGTATTAACAATTGAAATATTTGAGGAAAAAAAGTCGAAGGACTTGCTTGAATAATAGTGTCTCCATTGTTGTCTTGTTGAGTTTTGAGCTTCTTAATAATTTTCTTTTCTCTCCCCTCTGTAAATGGGGTTTTATTTAATAATTAAAAGTTAAAATCAATGTTTGAATGTTAAAATTGAGAAGTTTAAAGGTTAAATTAATTGATTGAGATTTCTTAATTATTTTGAATATTTAATTTATATGATTTCTAGAATTAGATGCAATGAGTGTTCTTGTAAAAATAGGAAGAGAGATTAAGAAATTATAGTAATCAATGAAGATAATCAGCAAATTTGGTCTAGGTGGACTAGGTCTCTATACGAAGAGTGGTGGGTCACAGTGTTAGTGTGTGTGACTGTGAGGGAGTAAAGTGCGTGAAGGGCAATTAAGTATTTTACATACTTTCTCCGTTCTTTTATTATTGCACCATACATTTGGCACAATTTTTTTTTGTATTGGAAAAGGGAAGAGAGAGAGGGGTAAAATTACAAAGTTATTTATGTAATGTAAGCATAAACTAAAGAATCAAGTGACAAAAGTAAGGGTATATTGGGTATTTGTAGTGTGAACATAGATATTTTATTTCTTAAAATATAATGGTGCAATATTTGTGAAACTTCCTTAAAAGGCAAGTGGTGCAATAAATAAAAAACGGAGTGCAATAAATAAAAAATGGAGTGGATTTGTGAAACGACCAAAAATCGACCACGAAAGCCCTCGATTGGTCGATTTCGACCGCCGATTTCGCAAAACTAGGGGAAATGGGAGTGGATTTCGCGGCAGATCGGGAATGGGGGTGGATTTTGCGGCGATTAGAGATGGTTTTTGTGGTGGTTTGGAGGGCTTAAGGTGGTTTTCGGGGAGGGAGAGGGGGCAAAGTGGTGGATCGGCGGTCAAAGGCGTTGGTGTCGTCGGATTTTGTTGAGGCAATGGATGCCGGCGGCAATTGGCGGTTGAGGTCGGTGGTGCAGAGGTGGTGGGAGGGCTAAATTAGGTTTTTTTTAATATTTATTTAAACCACTAGACACTTGACACGTGTCTTGTACGGACCCCACTAACGGATTCCATCCAAGAATCCGTTACATGGTGGTGAAATCCAATTTTGGACTTTTTGTGGTGTTATAATTAAAGTTTGAGAATTTGTGGTGTTATAATCCATTTTTTGTAAAATTTGTGGTGTTATTTTCAAAAAAATCCTTTTTTGTACAAAAAATTTAGGACAAATTGTATAGTGACATGTGTATTTCAACCCAAAAAAAAACCATTATAACAGGTAATCGGTCACCTGAGACCGTTGGGAGCAGATTAGGGATAAATGTAAAATTATTTAAAAATAACCTAAAGGTGAAATTATTTTTGAGCCCTTTCCCTAAATAATGTTGGAAAATTATCTAATTCCCGAATTACAGCTAGTCTTTTTTTAATTCCCACCATATCGTCCACGTCACCGGTTCAGTGGGAATTTTTTTTAAAAAACGGGTTTATTAGAAAACTGCTACTTGAAGTAGCGGTTTGTATTTACTAATTAATTTTGTAATAAAATCACTTTCTCCCCTTCCATTGATTCGAACGACACTCCTCAAGTAGCCTTCTAGCAATCCCTCGCGCTGGAAGCCGTTTTCACCACCATCGACGCCTTCCTACGGTTGTTTGCCGACAATGATTGTTGTGCGAATATAGCCAGAAACGAGGATATATCAAAGGATTTGTAATTGCCGACACCGATTGCACGCCAAATTGCACCGATTATCAAAGGTTTATGGAACTTGGGGATATAACTATTCAAGTACTTGAAGGTTTAATTTTGACTGATTTACAGATATTTTGTTTTTAAAGAAAAACTTATAAAACAAACCCATAAACCACTACTTGAAGTAGCGGTTTTAATTTCATAAACCGCTACTTCAAGTAGCGGTGTTTTGAGGAAAACCGCTACTTCAAGTAGCGGTTTACAAAATTAAAACCGCTACTTGAAGTAGTGGTTTGTTGCTGGACCGAGAAAAAAAAATCCGGTTTGTTTTCTTTAGCTGACGTGGACGGTATATTGGGAATTAAAAAAAAAGTAGCTATAATTTAGGAATTAGATAATTTCCCAACATTATTTAGGGGAAGGGCTTATTATTTTTAGCAGACGGCTTATTATGGACAATTTTTTGATTGATTGATTCCAATCTAGCACTTAACAACATAGCAAAGGTTCGAGCTTTGAGATCAATGCATGGATTTTTATTTACTTCACTCTTAAATCCCTCACCACAAAAGTCTTTGCCCTACAATCTACCCCCTCAATTTTTCCATTCTAGTTATTCATCCCAAATTTCGAATGACTAATTTATCCCATTCAAGTGAGTGAGTGAGTGACTGAGTTCGTTAAACGGATCCCAAAAAAAAAAAAAAAAAACAAGAAAAAAAACCTTAATCTCAAAATTAGATTTGATGATGGGAAAATATGATAGATCGAAGTTTTGGGTTTTGATAATTTTGATTTTCATTTGCATTAGTGGGATTTTTGTTTCTGCTCAATCTCATCGTCCCAAGAATGTTCAGACTGCACTTCGTGCTAAGTGGGAGGGTACTCCTCTTCTTCTAGAAGCTGGGTATGATCTTTTTTATTTTTTATTTTTTTTGTTGATTTCTAATCTTAATGTATTGATTTGTTTTTTTCTTCATTTGGGTATTTTTTTTAATGGAAATTATTATGGAAATTAATTGATTTATAAGTTTTAAGAGTAATTATGTTGATGATTGTTATTTTTTGAATCATGATGCATTTAGTTTTGATGAATTGTAATGAATAATATGTCATTGGTGGAACTTAGTTTATGTATCAAGTTAAATGTTTGGAAATTATGACGGGTTTGCTTATTGTTTAGTGAAGTATTCTGAAGAATTTGGACCTTCAATTTTAAGGGGATTTAGTGATATGGGTGTCTCTTTTTAATGTTACTGATGTCTTTCTGTGCTTTTGTGGCATTGCAAATCTGTATACTGTCAAAGCGTCAAGGAAATAAGTTGAATTTACGAGATTGGTTGTTTTGTTTATAAAGTGAACAACTGACCTCAGTGGTTTACAGTCAATTGCATTTATTTTCATGGTGTCGATGTCAAGTAGTTGCTTTATGGCTTTTTTTTTTTTATATTTTTGTTATACGTTTGACTATTATAATATGCAAGTAAGAGTAGAAGCTGTTTTATCTGTTGAGTAATTATTAAAGGGTCATCATCATTTTGACAGGGAATTGCTGTCTAGAGAGTGGAAAGACCTGTTCTGGGATTTTATTGACGTCTGGCTTCAACATGAAAATGTTGAAATTGATTCAAACACAGCAAAAGGATGCATGGTTAAGATTGTTAAATATGGGCGCTCTTTCTTGAGTGAACATCTTGGTTCCATGTTTGAATTTTCTCTAACTCTCCGATCAGCATCACCTAGATTAGTTCTATATAGGCAGTTAGCGCAGGAATCTCTATCTTCTTTTCCATTGACCGACGAAGCTGTTACGAATGCTGGTGATGTACCTTCAGATTTGCATGATACTAATACAGGAAACAGAAAGCCTGACCTCCTTCTTGTAGGGGTGAATCCGAAGAATCCAGGAGGAAAATGCTGTTGGGTTGATGTTGGTGCTTCATTATTTTTTGATGTTGTTGAATTGCTAGAATGGCTGCAGATCCAGTAAGTATCTTCCATCCCTTGATGATAAGCCACATTGATATAGGATCAGACGATCAGTCATGAAGAATTGAGTAAAAACAAAACTCTAATATTCAAATGTTTATTAATTCACCATCGTATTGTAGTAAGTTTTTGGAGTTCTTGTTAAGGGTATCAATAAGGATAGTTTGATAATTTAAAGTCCTACTAAAGTGTAGGAAACTTCCTATTATCTAAAGAGGAGCTAATATAGAAGTGTGGCCTAATATATAGTGATGAAGGGAGGATAAAAATATGGACATAAGGGTTGCGGTTCTGAGCTTAAATTTCTCCTACAGTAATGTTACAACCTTACATTGTTTGATTGTTGCAGTGGCGGGGATTCATCTCAGCAGCCTGAACTTTTCGAATTCGATCATGTATACTCGGTTTCTAATAGTTCAAGTCCAGTTGCCATTTTATATGGAGCTTTGGGAACAGTATGCTTTAGGGAGTTCCATGGGGCACTTGTTAATGCTGCCAAAGAGGTACTCTCTATCTTGAAATGCTCTCTCTATGTTTCATGGGTACATTGCTCTTTGCTAGTCATGATGATTATTTATAGTTTAGTACCATAAGCTAGGAATCTCAGTCACATACACAGTGTGCTCATGGCTCATCATGTGGTGGCTTTTGTTTGTGCTGTAATTTGATGACTTTTTGGGCTGTAAGATTTCTTATTTGAAGTCATTTGTATAATTTCATCTTAAGTTTGGGAACCCACCATGAGAAAGTGCTGTGTTTCCCTGAACATCTTAGCCTGTTGTATTATTAAGGGATTTTTCATCTAAACTTTTGTCTTTTCCATATGGTACCCAAATATGTTTTCTCTTCCAAGCAGTACCACCCAAGTTTATAGTTAATCAATTCCATAATACTCTAGGAATTAAAACGTTAATTACACGGTTATACAGCTAGATTTAAGAAAAGATGCTTTAAATAACCCAATTATCAAGCCCACCCACCAACTGAACTTACCACTCAAGATTCCCCTTCTTTAAAATAAAAAAAATGACCTTTCTTCTCTCTTCTCCTATGTTTTTGGAGTTGTGCCATATATACTCCAATCAGTTAGAAAAAAAGATACGGAGGACCATTTACTCTCTTAGCCGATGAGTATAACTTGCTGTAAACATTTGCAAATAACAAGACCCTCTGAGTAGTATTGAATCTAGGATCTTTATCTGATTTTCCGAACTCTGCCAAAAGCAGTGGCTTTCGGAGAATGCTCTGAGCGTCTATGATGTGGGATGTTAACTAGTTATTCATAAAGGCAAGCTCAGATTGATCATTTAAGTTAGACAACCTGTTGATTTGCAATTAAATAAATAAATAGGATTATGAATGTAGTAAAATTAAAGTCATGAATTTTGAATCAACCCAATTTAATCAAATTTTGACCTCTAATTAACTTTTCCCCCAATTTCAAAGCTAATTCACATGAAATTGACAAAAACTTCACTGGCAAAATAAGCAAAAAACAATAAAATTGACAAGGAATTAAAAAAAAAAACCAATTACAAAAGCATATAAAAAGCCCATTAATATAAACATAAAAATAAAACTACGAGAGAAAAATTGAATTTGAAAAGGAGAAGAGAGAAGAAAGTCATGAACCTGAGGAGCGCATAGGACGTATGAAGAATAAGAAGGTCGGTGCTCGATTTCATGATTCCATCTTTGTTACTTTGTGAGTCATGACAAGAACAAAGCAAGAGGAGGAGGCGAGCATAATTCTGCCATAACAAAAGCTAGAGGAGGAAGAAAGAGGAAAGGATGAGTTGAGTTATCCAAGAGATAGAAACACCTGTCCTTTCGAAGACAATTGGCAAGGACAAGGATTAAAACGTAATTTTTGTCTAGTTATCTAACTCAAATCTAATGTGTAATTAACTTTTAATTCACGGAATGTAACTGTATTAATTAACTATAGACTTGGGTGGTACCGCTTGGGAAAAAAAAAACATATTTGGGTACCAGTTGCAAAATCCCTATTATTAATCAAGCTGATTGGACCAAATAATCTGATTGATTGAGTCAATCCAATTGCACCAATGGCTTATTGAAGGATTGGTAGTTTGTGGGTTCCATGAGTGGGTTTGATATTTGTGCGTTTATAAATTTGCTATATTGGAGAATACTCAAGCAGCTGCTTTAGCAGATTAAATAACAGATGGTCAAACGACAAACAGGTTCTTGAAAATTAAAAGAAAATGCATCTAAATCTCTATTGAAAATGTCTTTTTTTTTTTGTTAAGTTCTATTGCAGCAAGCACAATTAATCACCCCAAATAGAAGACACTTACTAGATCGTCTGAAAAATAGAGGACACTTGCAAGCAATGTATTTTTGAATTGTCATTGCTGGTTACTTTTATTTATATATCTTATGTTTACATCACCTTAATATATATAATGCTGCATGAGCTGATATCTGTTTAACAATTTTCAGGGAAAGGTTAAATATGCTGTTAGATTTGTATTACCCCTTGGTTGTGAAGTGAATACTAGCCATTGTGGTGCACTTGGTACCAAAAGTCCTGTAAACTTGGGTGGCTATGGTGTGGAGCTTGCCTTGAAAAATATGGAGTATAAAGCTATGGATGATAGCATGATTAAAAAAAGTGAGTATGTTTTATTCTTCTCCATTAGCACACACGAGTGGTTTAGCATGGCTAGGATATTGCCATAACGATCTCCTGCTGTCTGGCTTGATTCAATGCGAGTGAAATTTTTGAATAGGAATAGTTTGTTAATTAAATTTTTTATTATTCACGCAAGTAGTGCACTTCCATCTATCTAGTTTGTAATCATATTAGACATCTATGCAGTGCTTGCAACCTCATATATGACAAAAGTGTAGATATAACATTTTGTTGTTGTTGCTGGTTTTTTTTTTTTTTTTTTTTTTTTCATCTTTTGGTCGTTGATTCTGCAACTTGTGGCATCTTATAATGCTTTCCACTCTAACTTTCTTGTAAATGTCTGCATTTATAAAGCCTTGATTGTATTTACTTCAATTTCTCTCTGTTAAGCAATCTACAAGAATATCTGCTTACTTGTTTCTCCAAGCTTCTCACAGAGTCACTGTACATTTCTTTCCAATCGAGTTTTATTTGTAGGTGTTGTGCATGCAATCACCATAAGTGCTCTGATATTTATCTTAAAACAAAAGTTTTATTACTTTTATTTGTTATTGGAATGACATTTTTTTTTTTTTTACCAGGTGTTACTCTTGAAGATCCTCATATAGAAGACCTTAGCCAAGAAGTCAGAGGCTTTATTTTTTCCAAAATACTGGTTTGTGAGCCTGAAAACTCTCTCAATATATTCCTTTATATTTCCATAAATTGGTTTGTTTTGCTCTTTGTATTTTCGAATGAGCTACTTTGATGCATATATTATTTCTAGGGATTTTTCAGTAACTGTTAAATAAAATTTGTCACCGTATTGACTCCATTATTGGGTTTTTGAACTCTCTGATTTCATTCTTATTCTATTTGTAGACTTATGCTGTCATTTTCTTACATTTGAAGTAGAAGTTTTTAAGAAAAAGTGTGTGAGGGCTGTAGAAGAAACTCTAAATCTTCGATCCGAAGTTTTATTTGTTCATGTACCTATACAGATGCCTGATGTCAGGGTGTTTTATTTCTTGCTAAATAGTTATCTTGAGTCTAAAGATATTAACAATGTGCTTATTATGACTTTTCTTATCATTATGCAGGAGCGTAAACCTGGGCTCTCCTCTGAGATTATGGCTTTTAGGGATCATCTTTTGTCATCCAGTATATCAGATACTCTGGAAGTTTGGGAATTGAAAGGTAACCAATGGTTGGCTACAGTTTCATTGATTAGAGTTGTAATTGAACTAAAAAAAATGAATCTGATTATTAAATACAGATCTGGGACATCAAACTGCACAGAAGATTGTCCATGCCTCTGATCCCTTGCAAGCAATGCAAGAAATCAATCAGAATTTCCCCAGTGTTGTTGCATCATTATCAAGGATGAAGGTATAGCTCATTATGGTTTACAAATATATGCTATTAATAAATGTCCTTATATCCTTATCTCTTAGAGAAGGAAAAGATAGCTTAAGTTATTTCTTCAGCATCAGAGCTAATGGTACTCGTATGCATGCAGTTAAATAATTCTGTGAAAGATGAGATACTTGCAAACCAGCGAATGGTCCCTCCTGGCAAGTCCTTGATGGCCTTAAACGGCGCTTTGATCAATATTGAAGATATTGACCTTTATTTGTAATTTCTCTTCTTAAACCATTCTCTGCTTCCATTTTTTATTAGCACGGAGTATGTTTTTTGCTGTCTTCTTGAGTTGATTTATTTCTTCTCCCCTGCGAGTTAAATGATGTGGCATTTCAAACTCTTAGTATTTCCTCACCGTGTCCAATAATATTGGTGTTGTAAGAGGCACTTGAGGGTTCACTCCTCACTGCTCTTGCTTTGTTCTGTTGTCTTCATCTTTAATTCAAAAATATGAAACAATTAATTTAACTTTAGTTGCAAATTATGAATAAATTTGGGTAATTTTGGTAGAAATTTGATGATTTTAAAAGAAATTTGAAAAAAGTTGGAGGACTTTTGGAGAGACAATATAGGGTTGAGTTTGTGTTTAGAAGAGAAAAAGTTGTGTTCTGAAATGTTTATGAGTCTTCTGCAAATAGCAATGAAATTCTTGTTATTAACAAGATTGCCATTCCTTATATTCATAGAGATAATTGATAGAATCATTTACAATTTAAACCAAAAACCTCATCAAATTACATTTAGCGGTGCAGTTTGGTTTTAGAAATATTTGAAACCACATCTAAACCGCAAACAGCGTTTTGGTCCAAATTCCAAACCACCCTGTAATTTTCAAACCACAAACCCCCAAAGAATGGTTTGGTTTGTGCTTTCACGTGGTTTAAACTGCACTCTGAATAATCCTTGTCTACAAATGAAGGATATAACTTGTTTTATAATCCTGTATCAGTGTGTTGACTCCTGGCCTTGCTTAACTGTCCAATATTTCTATCAGTATGTTTCATGTTTAGTCCCTTCATTTGTAGAAAAGTTTTAGTTCTCTCTCAGCTGGTTTATTGATTCTGTTTCTACTACATTGTCTTTATTTTCAATGAGTGTTTTTGTATATCTTATTTTGAATCACAGGTTAATTGATTTGGTGCACCAGGAGTTGTCATTAGCTGATCAATTTTCAAAGCTAAGGGTATGGTTGCTTTAAGCTTTCCTTATTTTCTCATCCTATTTCCTTACTATGGTAACATGCACGTTTCAAGATGTGGCTGTGATGGAGAACTTTAAACAGTGTATTATCTTGTATTATGATGTGTAAGTGATAAGAATAGTGAGGTTTCTCAAGATTTTATTACAGAAATAAAGACCTTCACTGCTATGATCTAAGAAATAACTGTGCTATTAAGACCATATTATGGATGTACTTCCTCCGTTTCTTTATAGTTGCAACACTTAACTAAACTAGAAATGTCACAATAGTTGCAATACACTATAAAAGGAAGGTTTTTATGGTGAAAATTGTACTATAACCTTTATTTAAAGGCTTAAAGCTTATGGCCCACTTGATTATACTCCTACAAACTTCTTATCCCCATTTTAAGTGTATTATATCATGGGAGGTCCACTTTTCTTAGATACCGTGATAACGTGTGTGTTGCAACTATAAAGAAATGGATTAAATTTCCTAGTCATCAAATAACTGAATTGAACATACTATCTTCAGAGGACTAGAACAAAGGGGGATTTGACCGGATCATCACAATGTTGATCAAAATGATGCTGTGATAGTAAATGTTCAACAGGATCCAAACTCCTCATAGTACAATGAAATATGTTGGAATTTGACCATAACCTCACCAGTAGAAAACCAGTAATGAGGAAGCGTGGGAAATTTGGAGGGTAATAGTCTTTAAGCTTTTTTTGAAATTGTGCTTAGGTCACAACAACATGATATTGAGAGTTAAAAACATGAAAAAGATATCAAGTATGGAAAATGATAGGCCAAAAAGCATACAGCCTTATCAAAGAAGTAATGATTAAGTATAAGATTATTAGGACTTAATATATAAAGTGTTTCATTTATATTGGGACTTACGGTTACTTTTTATTTTGCGAGTAGCATTCATGTTACGCATACCCCACTACAAACTATTATATTTAGAAAGGAAAATTTGTCTAGAAGGGACATATATGTTCACTATTTGTCTGGAAAGACCTTATTTGTTTAAAGTTGTCTAAAAAGACCTTATAAGTTAATTTTGTTGTTTGGGGGGACCTTGAGGTCAGAAGCCATCAATAATTGACTTTTTTCTCCGAGATTGACCTCTCATGTGACTTTAAAAAATGACCCCTTTTTCCTTTTTTCCATGATTTCCTTCGAATTCCCTTATTTTGATTTGTGTCATTTGGGGAGTAGAAGAGAGAAAAGGAGGAATTGAAGGGAGATCGTTGAAAAAAAGAAAATGAGGTCAATTTTTAAGGTCATGTGAGAGGTTAACATCGGAGAAAAAAGTCAATTATTACCGGATTCCGACCCCAAGGCCCCCCTAAACAACAAAATAAACTTATATGGTCCTTTTAGACCACTTTAAACATATAAGGTCCTTGTAGACAAAATAGTGAACATATGTCCCTTCCGGATAAATTTTCCATTTAGAAACTGGGGATGAAAATGTCATTATTCTTGAAGATCCTATTGCTAGCGCCATTTTTTTGAGTCATTGTAGTGGGTCTTGCTTAATATTTTGGTCTCAAAGAAAAAGACGCAACATCAAAAGAGTGGATTAATTCCAGTATTTTAGGGTTAGGGGTCATCTAGTTTACCAACTTGTAATGGAATAATATGAGAATTCCATACTAGGGAGGCGTGGAATGGGAATTCATCCCTGTCTACATCTGATTTAAACAAAGAATGAAGTTGTGAATCTTGGTGGTTGGGCCATGAATCTTGGGGTGGGGTTATAGGGGTATTAAATGACATTTGAGGTGATAAAAGGGGATTTTGATACTGCTAATAAGATTCACTCTCAAGAAAAACCAAACAAAAGAATTGAGTGCAAATGTGTAATCCATTCCGTTCCACATTAGCTACCATCTTTGGATTTTGATTTATGATGGCCTATTCAAGTAACTCATTAAACTGTTGGCCTTTCTTGTTTTTAATGAAGTAGCATAGTGAGATATTGGTATATATATTCTAATCGATTTTGATGTTGTGGATGACATTTTGAGAGCTCTGACTATAGAGGAGTTCAGAAAAGAATAAATATTCATCACTGTCACTATTGATGTTCATGCTGTCATTGATATGCGCATTCTTAGTGCTGCGAAGTAAAACTATAATTGCTGTAGTATGCCAGTGGATGTATACAGTTAGCATAATTTAGCCTCTGGAACAGTCTTTCCTTATTACTTCCATTATATATTTTCGCCATTTCCGTACGCATGAATTAGTGCTTTTGAATGACTTTGTAAATAAGCATTTCATTTAACATATATTGCACTTGAAAGATGTATCTCATAAACTGTTTACATACTGATCAGTTCTAGAATTAACTTTGCTAACTTGTGTGCACATTCCTGATAAATTCTAGATTCCTGAACCTGCTATAAGGAAACTACTTTCAACTGTGCTGCCTTCAGAATCAAATATGTTCCGCATTGATTTTCGCTCAAGTCATGTTCATTATATCAATAACTTGGAAGAGGATTCTATGTACAAACGATGGCGTAGCAATGTAAATGAGGTAGCATTCATTTTTTTTCCTCTGGTTCTGTTTTAATTTTAAATATGCCTGTTCTGTGGTTGTTTCGCAAGATGATGAAATTTGAGGTTCTGACAAGTGATATCACAACATTTGTAGATTTTGATGCCAACATTTCCTGGACAACTACGTTACATTCGCAAAAACCTCTTCTATGCAGTTTATGTTATTGATCCTGCCACCTCTTGTGGACTTGAGGCAAGAATTTTTGCAGCCCACATTTTAGTTTTGTTTAATCAAGTTTCCTAGGTGTTGCATGCTGATTTCTTCATTCAATTTGTATCACATTTCAGGTGATTGAAATGATTGTCAATCTATATGAAAATCAATTTCCAGTGAGATTTGGAGTAATTTTATACTCCACAACATATATTAATGAGGTTGAGAAAAATGGTGGGGAAAATCTTGCAGATATCAGTGTCAACTCAACAGATGAAGACATCTCTAGCTTGGTACTGAACTGTTTGAATCACTTTTTTCTTTCTAGTATAAGGTTGATGATGCTAAATTTTACTACTACGTATATTTTAATATTAGGCCAGTAATGCTTTTACTATTAATTAATATCTCACTTGTGCCCTGAACGAGTCGACTCAAAGCTGGCCTAACTGCCTAGGTGACTTTAAAAGCTTGACATATATGGTATATGCATAAGGTAGTATCAATGTATAGAAAGGGTGTGTAGGCGGAGGGCAACAAGGGTCATGCTGCTATCGATCTAGGCCAGGATATTTAAATGAGGCATATAGAACTGCACTGAAGTGCATCCTGATGCCCTTGAACCACACCATAACTTTTTTTCCCCACAAATAATTTTTTACTAGTATATACGATAGATTCAGCTGTGTGTTTTGATGTACTTTGCTATGTATATTTTGGGACTTTGGGAGCGGGAACAGTGATGGTGGGAGAGATGATTGCTAGGCTTTATATTAGGATATTTTTCAATTTACTGTCTATGGAGAAATCTAACAAATACTATCTTGCTTTCTCTTGCATTACTGCTGTTTTTGTTGTTGTTAATGTTCTGTTTCCTTCCAATTTTCTTATAAAATTTAAATAAATTTCTTTTCTCTATATCATGCTTTAATGATTGAGACTTTGAGAGTTATAGCTGAAGTAGGGGAGCACTACCTGCAGGTGCTGTGCAAAATATGGTCTCACCTATTATTATATAACAGTATAATCTTACTAACATGAAGCAATCATCCAAAAATTTGTGGTGTAGCACATGTGTTTTTAAGGTTTTTTGTAACTCATTATGTTTCTGTTATGGTATTGCTTTTACATGCCAAAACATGTTGATATTCTGTTTAGTGACATTGTTTTGTTTACCAATTAAGTGAATGCTTGGCTGGTGTTTGGACTGAATATACATTCCCTTATTTTTTTTTATCTCTTGTTCCCCATGCAGATTATTCGTCTTTTTATTTACATTAAGGAGCACCATGGGATGCTGACAGCTTTTAAATTCTTGGGCAATGTAAGTTTGTCCTCCACTCACTTTATAGTTAAGGAAATATTGTCCATGGAGTTGTAGTTTAATAGAGAGGCTACTTTTGTAGATAGTAGTGTTTGTTCGCTCAATTAAAAAAAAAATGTCTCTTGACATTTTATGATTGGAGGGTATATATAAGATTATTCGAACACCTAAGACTCTAAAAGAACCTTTCTTGAGCTTTCACCTCTTAAAATGGGTAACAAGCATCATATACAAGGAGTCGTCTTGATGGGCTGTTTTAAAATATATTTTTTTTAAATTTAAATTTTTCATAATTTATAGTTGGTGCTATAATTTGTGTTCAAATGAATGCATTGGAAATTGTTCAGATTGGAAAATGGCACAAACAAAAGGAATGTTGTATTTTTTTATTTCCCTTCTTACCACTTAAAGTATTGCTAATGTGAACCACTAAAGTATCTGGATCAAATCTCTTATAACATAATCTATTTTTTTTTTCCTTCTTAACTTAATGTTAAATCTTTGATCTATTTGTTAGTTATACGTATGTGGCGCTTAATTTTTATAATTATAAAAGAAATTGTACATCACTAATCTCTTTTGTTAGATTTTTGGACAAAACCTTTATTTTTAGCTCATTAGTTGGCTTAACTTAGGTGACACATGATTTTTTTTAATTTAAAAATATGTAATAAATCTCTCTTCTCATTATTTGGGTTTTAGTGGTTGCTTATGTGATACTGCATATGCTTTGATCAAATTTATCTCATTGAACATTCCATTATCCTTAACTCTTTTTACAACCCTCAATTTCTTAAGACTTTGTTTTCTTAATATTGATATTATGCATCACATAATAATACCTATTGTCAGCTTTGTCGCTAAGAGAACGCATAAAGACGAAAGCTACAATCATCTATAGAAATGAGTGTTACCAATATTTTATATTTGATTCTATAACTAATCCAAATTTAACTAAAAGGTTAAGATGATACCACAATGATAATTGGACTTTAAAAAAATCTGTGCATTTCAAGGGATGGGTAAGAATTTAACGTAAAGATGCATACAGCACATACTCCTTTTTTCTAGTGATTGAGCAAATCCTGGTTCTTGTTTTTTTTTTTTTTTTTTTTTTTTTTTTTTAAATTTTTTTTTTTTTTTTAGTGATGTTAAGAGTCTGCTCTGTAGTTTGTTTACCCATTATAATTTGATTATCCCAAATTTTGAACAATTGAATAATTTTATAAAATAATTAAATTCACAAATTATAGTCCGTGACAATTTCAGTTTTCCATGAAATAAGCTGATCTCTGTCATGTTTAGTGTTTGAAAAAGCGCGCCTAGGTGCTGAGGCGCAAGGCGATCAGGGGTGAGCGCTTATTTTGGTCTAGGCAAGGCGTTTTGGGTTAGGCGCTCAAAAAGCGCCCGAGGCGCACTTGAGGCGCACCCGAGGCACACTTCAGCCAATTTTTTTTTAACTGCCCATGTAGTACGCCTCACTTCAAAGAGGGGCACTGAGGCGCGCCTAGGCGCAACAGAACCCCTCTCGCTTTAGTGCGCCTTGAGCTTTTTTATACATTGGTCATGTTTATTAGTTAGCAATGCTAAGGTTTGACTTAATTTAATGATGTTAATTTCATGGCCATTACAAACTTTGATGTTATTTACATGGCCATAACATTACCATTCTTAATCTTTTGTGAGAAAAGATGAAGTAGCCTACCCACTTTCCTCTTTGTCTTTGTTTTCTTATAAAGGAGTCTTGTTTTTACTAAGGTCCTTAAAATTGACTTTCATCTTTTAGGTTCACTCAGAGTTAGGTGATTTTGGTGAAGAATCTCCTGAGAGGCATCATGTGGAAGGAGCATTTATTGATGTGCTATTGTAAGTTCTGGAAATTTTGGTTGAGTTAGCATGACTACTTCCTTCATTATTTTGACGTATCATTTTAGTGTTTTCGCTGTTTTGTTATTTTCATGAATGTTTAATATTCTTCTTTTCTTATGTAAACATATACAGAAAATTTTCTTCATCAAAAAATTTGTTTGTATTTTCTAAACTGATTTTGAAGCACTCTTGTTTTTTTCCTGCAGAACTAAGGCAAAGTCTTCTCCCCAGGATCTGCTGCTGAAATTGGACCAGGAGAAGGATTTTCAAGATGTAGCTCAAGAAAGTTCTATGTTTGTTTTCAAGCTCGGATTGTCTAAGCGCAAATGTTGCCTCTTATTGAATGGACTTGTGTACAATTCTAATGAGGTAGCCTTTTGTGGGCTGAAAAACTTTTGCTAGAACTTTGATATTAGTTTAGAACAACTTCAAATTAAACCTGATCTGCACATTATCCTGAGTAGGGGTAGCAGTTATCATAGATCTATTATTTTAAGTTCTACAAATCAAACCTAGATCCTTTCTTTAAAATTATTTTTACCCAAGGGTCCTATCGTTGCTTTTGTTTTCCTGTTCTTTATAATACTTTGCTTGAATCTATTAGTATATTGTTAACTTAATCAGCATTCAGAATCATGCATCATATGCTCTTTTCACCCAATGACATTATTTTTGTTGACATCGTTGCGAATTTTGGAGAAGTAAATGGAACAATACTCCTGCGTGGGGTATTCTATAATAACTGACTGGGAGCAGGCATCAGGAATGTCAACTATATTTAGTTTTGCTGGTTAATTTTTCCTAGTGAATCTTACTACATTTGGGTGGATACATAACATAGTATCGTGTTGAAATTTCTGTGTTGGCTGCCTTATGTTTTCGTTATTTCAAACACTGGTGTCAGGAAAGATGATGATGAGATTTATGCACTATATATTCTGGGTAAGTGTTTGTTAAGAATAAATCTGGAAGGGTGGGAGGCTGGTATTTTGGTAACTTAGCATCGAAATGTATTTCTTTGGTGCAAAATTTGGCGAAAATCCAAATATCTAGCTCTTTGTATAGACTGCTAGGAGCAAATACAGTTTTTGGAACAGACTAACCGGGTGGGTACCTTCTATGAAACTATACACTCTGTACTTATGGCTATCTTGGGCATTTTCATTGAAAACAATGATAGTATCCTCAGAGATCAGAATTCTTGTCAAGAATCAATGTGGAATAAAATTGTTTTATTTGGATTTTGGAACATGATTGGAGATCCTTCTCCTGTATTCCTTGATATTTTGTGCAAGAAGTCCCCCCCCCTCCCCTAATATATGAAATTGTTTTTTTTTTTTTAAAAAAAAGTTAAGCGTTACATGTATTGGCTTATAGACTAGTTTGAGAACCTGTCATTGCTTAGCTTAAACTGGTTTAGCCGTTGTTGGGTTTGCTTACATCCACCGTTATTTGCATATATTGTTGTGAAACATGACAATATTTACTTTTATTGATTAGGAAACTCTGCTAAGTGCTATGAATGATGAGCTTCCAAGGATACAGGAACAAGTCTATTATGGAAACATTGACTCTCACACTGATGTGTTAGATAAATTTTTATCTGAGAATGGTGTAAGGCGCTACAATCCACTGGTAATGCATCAAGGAATTCTTCACGTGTTCGCTCTTCCAATTATCTCTCTCTCTCTCTCTCTGTGTGTGTGTGTGTGTGTGTGTGTGTGTGTGTGTGTGTGTCCTTTTCACATATTCTGTACATATAACCAAACCTGAAATCTCTGTATGAGTTATTTTTGTTAATTAAGTGCTCTGCATTCTGAACGCATCTGTGCAGATTATAATTGATGGGAAAGTTAAACCTAAGTTCGTGTCTCTTTCCAATTCAATTCTTGATGAGGTATCTGCTCTTCATGAGATAAATTACCTCCATTCTCCTGAAAGTAAGTGGGTTTTGCATTTTATTGAATTATCCCGTTACAATTATATTTTATTATTTCAACTGAAAACTCGTTTGGTCCATTTGTATTGCAGCTATTGATGAATTGAAACCAGTGACACATCTTCTGGCCATAGATTTGACATCAACAAAAGGGTTGAAGTTTCTTCAAGAAGGAATACGTTATCTTGTTAGTCTCTTATTCAATGGAAGTAAGTTTGCTGACTAGCTATTAACTCAGCTAATTTACTGTTTTTTTTCTTTCTTATTTCTCAATATCAGGAAGATGGGTCAACAAAAGCCCGTGTTGGTGTATTATTTGTCCCAAATTTTGCTTCTGATTCATCTAGCCTCCTTTTCGTGAAGATCTTTCACATTACTTCATCATCATATAGGTGTGTATAACATCTTGTTCATTATAGACATACGGGATTTACATTCTTTATTTTTCTTTATGTTTATTATTGTTAGGATTTTTTTAAATTTCACCTCCTTAAAATAATCCCAATATGTTTTTACTACCCTAATCAATAAAAGTTGTATTTTGCATGTTTACCACTAACTAAAAAGTAAAATTAGAATTTTACCACCACTTAACTGATTATGTCCTTGAACATGTTAGTAAGGCACATTTCTCTTATATTCCCCTTTGTTTTCCAAGATTCTCCCTCCCCCTTACCTCCTCAACCTCCATCTCCACCTATTCTCCTATTAATTCCTTCTGCTCTTTCAGTCCTTTCTCCTACTTTGACATACCCCTTCAAAAAATGTAAGAAACTTCATTTTTTCTCTTCTCATCTCTTACTTCAACCTCTTCTTCTGTCAAAACTGAGAATCACTAAAACCAAATACCCACAAAAGTTTTCCGTCTCCCTTTTTTCTCTCCTTTGCAATGTGAAGAGTAGAAGATTTCCATGAAGGTATTTTAAAACTAGTTTTTTTGGAATTAATTTAGTGAGAGAATTGGGTTTGTTAAAGAATTAAAATAATTCATTCACAATTTCAGTAGCATATAGTAAGCTTAATGTGATCAAACAGCTTAATATCAAGTTTTTCCCAAATCCAATTGAACATGAATCCTATTTTTATTAATTAATTCTTGTTGTTGAAAATATGGTTAACTATGACAAAAAAATCAATTTCAGTTTTGGTTGCTAAGCTGTTTGCTAGTTGCTGTTGATGTCAAAAAAAAAAAGATATCCTTGGTAGGAAGCAGCCATTGTTATGGGTATGAAACACTATAAATGGGAAGGAGTGAGATTGATTTGGTGTGTGAATTGTGGTAAAAGAAGTGAAAGTAGACAAAATCATGGAAAGGAGTGTGAAATAAGAGGGAAATGTAAAACGGTGGGGCGCTTTAATGGATTTATTGATATAATCTGTTTAGTATTGGAATATCCAAATTTTAATTTGTTTAGTTGTTGGTAATGTACAACTTTTATATATTAAGGTGGAAAAAAAAAAATTATCAGTTTTTATTTTAAGGTCGTTGAATTTGAAAATCCTTATTTATTATTTTTTTTTTTACATATACATATTTTTTATATACTAGAATATTTTTCAGTTGTCATCCTGTTTTCATTACATTATCTTTTTTTTACTTCTTACATGTATTGTGCAGCCATAAGGAAGGGGTTTTGCAATTCTTGGATCAGTTATGCTCATTATATGAGCGTATCTTAATAAAAAGATCTTCTCAGCACACAGAAAGCATTAAAACATTTATTGAAAAGGTTTCTGATCTAGCAGATGTGAACGGATTGCCATCTAAGGGGTATAGCTCTCTTCTTACAGAATTTGCAATCGAGGATTTGCAAAAACTGTTGAATAAGGTATCTGATTATTTATTCATATCGGAATAAAAAAGGTCTTTTCTTTCATTCGTAGGTGCGCTCATTTCGATGCATGCCTTGTACCATTCCCATCCCATTCTTTGATTTAACTCTTATTTAGATGGAAAGTTAATTTCTGTACATTGTTGTGCACTAGAGTCTTCTTTCCTTTTTGCTGTCTATGTCCTACTTTGTTTTTGGTTTATGACCTTCATTTGCTTACTGAAACATTTTATTATTATTTATTATTATTTGTTGTTGTGGTTGTTGTTGTTGTTGTTGTTAAGTTTATGCTGGTGTGCAGGTGGGTTTGTTTCTACACAAGCACCTTGGACATGAATCTAATCTAAATGCAGTCATCACCAATGGGAGGGTGCGTTTTCTGCCAACATCTCTACCTATTCTGATTTTAGTTTTTCTCTGCTCTTTCGGCGAGTGAAAATGCACCATTATTATCTCGAGCAAGTTTCACATTCACATATGTCACAGAAAGGTGTCCTGTAGATGACACCTGTAATGATGACTCTGTCAATTGCTAGATACTCATCCCAAAACTCAAAAATAACTAGTAAATTGTTTAAACGTCTCTTCGAAATCTTTATTCACCTCAAAAACTTACGTATTGCTTCTTGATCTAGCAGATCATTTCTGTCTCACGTTGTCTGACCGAAACTATCCTGCACTAAACTCATAAACATGCTGACATGTCTATTCCATTTAAATATAATGATAATTTTTTTTTTCTTAAAATTAATATGGGGATAATCCTTTCTTCATTTCTCCGTCATTTTTTTTAGGGAGTGGGTGTGTGGGGTAGGGGTGGGGAAACTGTACTTATGCAAATTTGTTGTTCTGATTGTTCGGATAATCTTCTAAATCTACAGCCCGGCTCTCACTTTTCAGGTAACAGTATTTTCTGATGAAGATACCTTCTTGTCTCATGATCTGCATCTATTGGAGTCATATGAGTTTAAGCAGAGAATAAAGCATATTTCTGAAGTTATTGAAGATTTGAAGTGGGAAAACATTGATCCTGATTCTCTAACAAGGTTCTACTCTTTTACTGCTTGTTCTGGTTTCAATATTCTGCCTCCTTTCCATATATCTAAAACTTTCAACCTTTTGTATTTTACTACTCCCTCCATCTCTTATTGATAGTCCCTTATGGCTAATTTTAAATCCCAAAATGATAGTCCCATTTGCTTTTTTCAAGTACCATTAATATTAATTTTTCACCAAAATTCTCTCCAACTTGCAACAATATTTGTGCAAATTTAACTTTCCCATGTGCTTTTATTACTTTCTCTCTCTACATTATTGCATATCGAATGTAAATTTATCTTTCCAATGTACTTTTACTACTTATTTATGTTTATTGACTCCCGTGAAAATTTCCCATAAGGGACTATCAATAAAGGATGGAGGGAGTATTTATTTTTATTACTTAAAATGGTAATGCGATAACAAACAATTGGTTTTTGTGTACAACTTACCAATTAGTTATCAACTTTTAGAGATGGCTTACACCCCCTCCCCCCTCTTCCCTTTCCCTCTTTTCAAAAATGAAAGATACTAAATTTCAAGTTTAAATAGAAAAGCACTATTAATTAGCTCTATCCGTCCACAAATTGGGTCAGTGGACCATTTCTCCCTTTCTCTTAACTATTTTTCATCCCATTTCGATTCTTCCTTCACATGATCCTTTGAAATTTGTAGTCACTTTCTCTCAAAGTCCACACTTGCTAGCTTTCTTCATGTGGCACATGCAGCTGGAGACATATGTCCTTTTGCAAAGACTTGCTTTATATTATGTAATATCTCTGAAACCAAATTATCTTCTGTTAGTGGTTCTCAAATCCCTTTTTGTGTTTCTTGCAGCAAGTTCATTAGTGATGTCATTATGCTCGTCTCTTCATCAATGGCTAGACGAGACCGTAGTACTGAGGGTGCTCGTTTTGAGATTTTGCAAGCGACATACAGGTTAAGTGATCTTAATATCATGTTGCAATTTTATAAGTAAAACACTTTCATTGCAAGTATTAAGTTTTCAGATATTATGTAATCTTGATGCTTAATTTTTCTGAAGAGTCTCATGGATTTTATTTAGTTTTTCTATGTATTTGTGTATTTGTGAGCTTTCCAAATTCCAAATTATGGAAAAATTCCAATTATGTTGAGGTTGTACTAGGAATAATTCTGGTGAGTGATTGAACTAGTTTTGCTTCCACAAATCCTCAGTCCAAGTTACTTGTCTAGTAGGTACAGAAGTCTGGCTTGTGTTGGGCTGTGATCATGCAGATATTACCTGCTGCTTGTACCATATTATTGAAGGATCCTTATTGGTTGATATAATTATTAAATTATTTTGCTTTTGTTGTTTACAGTGCTGTTGTGTTGACTAGTGAAAGCCCTATCCATGTTGATGCAGTGATTGATCCGTTGGGTCCATCAGGACAAAAGCTCACATCTCTTCTCCAAATCTTAGGGAAATATTTTCAGCCAAGCATGAGAATTGTACTTAACCCATTGGTGAGTTATGTCTTTGGTTATTTTCTTGATTTATTTTTCGAAGCTGGTAGCTGTGTAAATAAATTTCCTGGTCATTCTTTCCAAAGAGTAAAAAGAAAAGATTTTATTCCAAGAGTGGGTGTATGCTGTGAAGTTTAAGTTTTCTTGGATGTAGACTTATATTCGCATTGGAGACTAGAATTCTTTTGTTTGGATAACTATACCAATTTTTTCTTTTTGAATGTTTATCTAATTTATATTTTAAATGAGATGTTGTACTTCTAACAGAATAGGTTTTGTGATGGAGGATGAAGCCTTGCTTTAACTTCGCCCCTCTTCTTTGTTCCTCTACATACAGATTAAAGACATCTTGCATGTCATTGTATTTTATTTCTCTGCATTTTGTGTTAGTATGTCAATATATGACAAAGAGTAGTATCTTGGAAGATGATTCAACCTATCTGTCTGTAGTATATAGTATTGCTCATGAAGCTACAAGAACTTTCTGTGGACAAAAAACCAGGATTATTTTTAAGGGGTTATTATTCTTGAAAGAGGTTCTAAAAAAATGTCTCCTTTGATCTCTGGAGCGGGGACACTTACTGCTAGTTTGCATCAAAGATGATGACATTAGAAGTTGAGATACATCCCTAAAAAAGTGTTAGGCATTGGAAATCACTGTCAAAATGTTAAATCCATGCCTCTACCACTAATTATTGAGTATTAGGAAATTTGAATGATAGGCCTGCAATTTTCTGATTATGTGTTCTATTTAGTACATAGTTTTTGGAAAAAAGTTGGTCACTCGAAGTAATAGGGCATTTTTGATTTTCTAATGAAATTGGAAATGAACTTATGAATATATAAGAGACCGGTGACTAATTGTTAACATGATTTAAACACTGACTCTGAATCCTTTACAATATGAAAATTTATCAGCGGAGTATTATAAGAGAAATAAACAGTAAATATCTTGCAAGTAAAAGTTAAGGTATGTGGGAAGCTTATTAAATGGACTAGTGAAGGGGACTTTAAATAGTTCTTTGATTCAGCAGAGCGTTGTTGCTTGATGGTATCGCTATCTACTGGAAAACATTCACTGGTTGCTGAAAAAAAACTGAGTCCCTAAGCTTTTTAGGTACTTGTGAGCTTTGCTTTTAGCTTCAAAAATGAGTTGTTAGATGACTTATTATCCTTTTCTGTTCTGAATGCTAGGCTGTTGCTTCTACTGTGTTCCACACAAGGGTTAACTCTGTATACAAAAGAGGATTACTGGGTCTCTTGCTAATATTCTCAAAATCATATACTCCCTCCTACCTCAAGTAGCTGTCACATGTTCATTTTGGGTGTACTATTATTCCTCTTAAGTTTCTACTGGTGTTAAATTGGAGCATTTAGGAAGAATTGGATAATTCATAAACATGATTCTATCAAAAAGTTCCCTCACTATTAGAGATGCTGTTGTTAATTTCTTAGTCATTTTTAGATTATATATCTTATGCTAAGATATTCAATTTATGGCAGAGTTCCCTTGTTGATCTCCCACTGAAGAATTACTACAGATATGTTGTTCCATCAATGGTATTTCTCCTGAATGAGCTGTATTTAAACCTGCCACCATTGCTGCTTTGATATGCTGACTGTCTCATTTTGTCCAGGATGACTTTAGTGGCTCTGATTATGCTGTAAATGGTCCTAAGGCTTTCTTTGCAAATATGCCATTATCCAAAACGTTGACTATGAACCTTGATGTACCTGAGACATGGCTTGTGGAGCCTGTCATTGCTGTGTATGCTGCTTGTTGCACTAGCCTTTAGTTTCATCATAAGTTCACTTTTAATTTTATATTGTCTGTTTTTTTATATTTTTAAACCTAATACAAGCCTTTCTGTTTGTCTAACATGCATCAGCCACGACTTGGATAATATATTGCTTGAAAATTTGGGAGATACAAGAACACTGCAAGCTGTATTTGAACTTGAAGCGCTTGTTCTTACAGGTACAATTTTATGTGTGAAAACTAACTTTTTGCTTCCTGATGAAAACAAGTTTGGCTGAACAAAGTCAAAACTTGCATTTATGGTCGAATCTGATGCTTACAGTTGGCTGTCTTACTTTTAAATGTGGAGATCAGGTCATTGTTTTGAGAAGGACCATGAACCACCTAGAGGACTGCAACTGATTCTTGGGACCAAGAGCGCTCCCCATCTGGTGGATACTCTTGTCATGGCAAATTTAGGCTACTGGCAAATGAAAGTTTCTCCTGGAATGTGGTATTTGTTGCTTGCTCCAGGCCGAAGTTCTGAACTTTACCATTTGATAGAGGATGATGGTGGAAGTCACAAGACCACCTTTTCAAAGCGTATAATTATAAATGATTTACGTGGTAAAGTAGTTCACTTGGAAGTATTGAAAAAAAAGGGCAAGGAGCATGAGAAGTTGTTGGCCTCTGCTGATGATGATGGTCAATCCCCAGAAAGGATCAAAGTCAGTCTTAATAAATCACCATTGCTTTTTATCTTACATATTTTCTTAATTTTTTTTACTCAATATATTAGCTTCTGTTTGGTGCTTTTGCAGGATAGTCAGAGAAGTTGGAACAAAAATATTTTAAAATGGGCTTCTGGTCTCATTGGTGGAAGTCAGAATACAAAAAAGAGCGATAGCACAGTGCCGGTAGTCTACTGTTGCTTTTCCCCTTCTATGTCATCTTTTTTTATTACACCTGAACTAGATTCATGTGTCATTTAGAACTCTTGAAGCATTGACTTGATGAGATGTGAGTGTTACACCTGCACACAACTATGTTACTTGAATAGTTATATCTTGCTTGGTGATACTTGACGATGCTTGTCACCAAAGCCTAAAGAGTTGGGCCAAGAATAATTCTATGATTTTTTCTTCAAGTGAAGATGATACTAGTGACTGGTTTATGTCTATTTAGGATATCAATGTATAAGTATCCTTCTGAATCATCTTGAAGAAAAAGACAATGCTTTGGAATTCCCATTTCTAGTTTTTATCTAAATGCTTGTCATGTTCCATGGTCTGTTCACCTTGTGCATGCCAGTTTGTCTTTCGATATCTAATTCTCATTCCAAAATATGTGTTAAAAGTATGCATACCTATCAAATAGTTTGAAGTTAAAGTTAGTGCATAATCAAATTGATAGTAATATTGCACTGATAATTTGTAATGACAAAAACTGTACAGTGATTCTATCATTGTAAACAATCCAAAATGAGAAACTATTTTCAAGTCTACAAGTAAATGATGGAGGAGCTTAGCAAGGCTGATTACAGGAAAGCACCTATTTTTTGTCCCAAAAATACCACATATAAGTTAACTTCAGTATGACTCTTTAATAATGATTATCTAGGCTATCATATTTTGGGAATTATTTCCTATGCTACCTCATAAGGCCGTCATATTTCTTGCTTGGACAGAAATTTCAGTTTTCTCCTTGCTCATCAACAAACCTTTTCCACCAAATAAGCTGCTAAGTTACAACGTAGAATTTTATTTAATACTTATTCCTATGAATAAATTATGGCTTAAGCAATTAACTCCTTAGAACCAGATATTCTTCATCTCTTTTTGTTCATGCACTGAACCTTATGTGCCTTAATCCACCTAAGATTTGACTAGATTAAAACAGAGAAAGCATTAGAATATTAGCAATTTATTTGGGCAACTCTATGATTTCTGTTTGTTTGTTTTGTCGTTTCTCCTTTTTTTTTTTTTGGTTGTGATTTATTTGGTTGTCCTTACTCCTTTCCTAGAAGTACTGACCTTTCACTTTGCTGTCTAGAATAAATGGGTCTGATATGGCTGCCTATACTATTGCTAAATTTAGCACTGCAATTCTGTGCTAGTCAAATGGGACTTGGAATCTATAAGCTGCTTATTGATGCTTAAGCATTAGCTATCAAAGAGCCATTTCTATATTACAATATCTTGACATTCTGTATTAAGGCCTGTTGTTTATGGCTTGATATTGTTATCTGAATTCACATTTTAGCCTTATAGACTTTTTCATTGGTTTTAGCTGATTTGTTAGATAACAGTACTTGAACTTTAACTTTTGCAGGAGAATAAAAGCGATCGACATGGGAAAACTATTAATATATTTTCGGTTGCTTCAGGACACTTGTAAGTAAAGTATTGCTTTCTTTCTATTTACATTCTCATTCATTATTTTTTATAATGGAAATAATCTTAATTAAACAAGTGAGCAATATAGCCCAAGGACAAGTGTGGTCTATGTTACTTGGACTCTTCATTTAACTTCAAGTACCCATGTCGAACCCTCGACAATCGGACATGGGTATGACACTTGGACATAATATTGACTTTTTGCTTACACCCACCTACCCTTTTTTTTTTGTTTTACTCAATCATGTGATTTTTCTGATAGATCATATAGAAAATTATTTTATGATAGTACTTTTTCTGGGTTTCTGTAGTTAGCAATATGTTATTTAGTTGGCTGCAGAGCTTGAAGTTGGTTGTTCTTTCACAAACTACAGCTTATGAATCAAACACTTGAACTCCACATGAGTATTTATTTATTTTTATTTTTTTTTTGTGACACACATGAGTATTTATTGGATGTGCAATGTGTCTATGTTGTCCTTACCATACATTTTATCTTCTCTATTTTATGTTGACATTCACTTTAAATAAGAATCAGATTGTTTTCATTTCATGAAATTGCTAAAAAATTCTTTATTTTACAGATATGAGCGATTTCTCAAAATTATGATATTGAGCGTTCTGAAGAACACTAATCGGCCTGTCAAGTTTTGGTTTATAAAGAATTATTTGTCTCCAAAGTTTAAGGTTGAAAGTTTTCTTTTTTTTTTGTTAAGGTTGAAAGTTATTCTTTTTGTGTTGAGGTACAGTTTTGGGATGCGTACTTATCTTTTTATTTTCAGGATGTTATTCCACTTATGGCACAAGAATATGGTTTTGATTATGAACTGATAACTTACAAGTGGCCTACGTGGTTGCATAAACAAACGGAAAAGCAACGAATTATCTGGGCTTATAAAATCTTGTTTCTTGATGTTATCTTTCCCCTGTCACTGGATAAGGTATATTAGCTTGCTTTGCCCTGTTGTCATCTTTCTTGGTTTATAATTTCTGATTTTGTTCACTTTTTATGTATGAAGGAATATTGACTATATCTGTATTGATCTGCAGGTTATATTCGTTGATGCTGACCAGGTTGTCCGAGCTGACTTAGGCGAACTTTATGATATGGATATAAAAGGAAGACCTTTAGCATATACACCATTCTGTGATAACAACAAAGATATGGACGGCTATCGATTTTGGAGACAAGTACAATATCTCTTATGATCTATGCAATTAGTACCATGGTATTTATCAATTTATATTGATAACATGAAACTTTTTGTTGCAGGGATTTTGGAAAGAGCACTTACGAGGAAAACCCTATCATATTAGGTGAAGTTTTACTTAATTGCATTTTTCTAGTTCCTTAGTATTTTAAATAATAATCTTGTGCAATTGTCTCTTGCAGTGCTTTGTATGTCGTAGATCTGGACAAATTCCGACAAACTGCTGCTGGAGATAATCTTAGAGTAGTTTATGAAACTTTGAGCAAGGATCCTAATAGTCTCGCTAATCTGGACCAGGTATGCCAATTATCTTTGAGTGAATTTTCAGTATTTGTATCCTTTTTATATTCTATTGATTGAAAAAGCATACCATCTTCAATGTACATATTTGAACAAAAAATTCTTCAACAAAGTATTATAAAAAAGGAAAATTTGCAAATTGCGGCCATTTAAAGTTCGTATTTTGCAAATTGCAGCCATTTAAATTTTTTTTTTGCAAATTACAGCCCAAAAGTTCGTATAAATTGTAAATTGCAGCTCAATTCAATTTTTTCATCGGTTTACATGTTGAAAAATCTTCGGTTAAGGTTTTAGGGGTTATTTTAGCCCTCAGGGGGCCCGAATTGAGCTAGGAATTAGCAAAAAAATAACGTAAGTGTCTCATATTTACAGTTTCCCACAAATCGATACACTTTTGCTACGCAAAACGAGATACTTGTGTTATTTTTTTGCTAATTTCGAGCTCAATTCGGTCACCTAAGGACTAAAATGGCCCCTAAAACCTTAATCGAAGATTTTTCAACTTGTAAACCGATGAAAAAATTGAATCGGACTGCAATTTACGATTTATATGAAATTTTGGGCTGCAATTTGCAATTTTTTTTAAATGGCTGCAATTTGCAAAATACGAACTTTAAATGGCTGCAATTTGCAAATTTTCTTATAAAAAATTATAAAAGTTAATCTTTTGAAACTGAATGTCAAGATGAATTGAATAGGATCCCACATTAGTGTGTTTTTTTTCCTTATATAAATCGATGAGTTTTTGTGGTCAAAGTTTCTCTCTCATCAAATGAGTGACATTACTAGAATACAAGCTAAGGGATTCAAAAAGGAATGGAGTGAATGAACACTTTAGGGGAAAGATGTCTCATTTATCCATTGTGGTAACACAGGCTTGCATTAAGCTGACAATATCTGCCAATGTTTCAGGATCTTCCTAACTATGCACAGCACACAGTGCCAATCTTTTCACTCCCACAAGAATGGCTCTGGTGTGAGTCATGGTGCGGAAATTCTACAAAACCCAAGGCAAAAACCATTGACTTGTGCAACAATCCCATGACTAAAGAGCCCAAGCTTCAGGTAGTGTCATACTTTGTGATATTGTTGTTATAATTTCCATATTTGTATCCATTCTAGTTTTCAAATATCAGCTCCTTATACGTTCAGGGTGCTAGAAGAATTGTATCTGAGTGGGTTGATCTTGACCAAGAGGCAAGGCAATTCACTGCTAAAGTGTTAGGTGAAGAATTGGATCCTGTTGAGTCTACACCACCATCTCCTCAGTCCGAGAGTGTGAAAAATGATGATGAAATTGACATGGAGTCCAAGGCAGAACTGTGACAATAAATTTTTTACAGCGTGGGGAAAAGGGTTTTATGAGCATGGCAGAATGCTGATCACTAATGTCTTCCATATCTCCAGGCAAAGATAAAGATTTCACAGTGTCAAGGAACCATTGTTCAGAGTTCCTTCACTGTCCAGCTGTTATGAGGTAACTCATCGGACACTTGGGTTAGTGACAAAAATGAAAACTTCAAGGAATATGAACCCATACAACAATATCATTAAGAACTTCAGAGTTCTGACTATATTTTAAGCAGGTACAATTTTTGTAAGAATATTAGAATAGTACAGAGGTAGATTATTGATGTAGTTCGACAGTTCACAGTAGTAGGATACATGATGTATAATTACCATGGCTGGTAGGATTCCTACCTTGAGGCAACAAGTTTTACTCTCACGCAACTGTGGTTCTTGGACTTCCTTATCTATCCCTTCTGTTCAGGGTGGCTTCAAATCTGTGCTAACGTTTACTCGCACAAGTTGGGTCATTCTTCTCAACTATCCCAAAAAAAAAAAAAAAATCAAGTGTCCAGTATATTGTTCAATGAAATTGATTCCGGCGTAATATAATGGTGATTATACATGTCAACCAGGTCGGCACCGGGTAAAGTTCGGGTTGGGAATTTTATGTTCCGATCGTTTGTGGGTCAAAATTTTTTTTCCCCCCTAAAATGGAACTCAATGTAATACAAAAACCACTCATACTTCATATGAAGCAACAGCACCGGGTTGCCAATTTTGAATATATAATTTCTTAAAATGAATCTTACTACTCTGCATAAGATTATAAGAACACAGCCAACACACCATATAAAAAACTTTAGCCTTCATGCTTCTCTTAGGCATGCTTGGATTGGGGGCTTAAGGGGGTAATAAAAGTCAAATTAAGCAAAATGAATGTGAAAATAGGGAAGAAGGAGATAGTGATGGTGTGATTGTAAGAAGATATGTAGTGATGGTATGGTGTGAGGTGAAGAAAGAGGAATCAATACCCTTGTTTAGGGTAAAAAATACCCTAGACATGTGGACCATTGAGAGGAGGCCACGTGTCAAGTTCAGGATGGCCCAATAGCCTCTTGACACGTCCCCTTCAGATAAGCTTCTGATTTGGCGGCCTTCAGGGGCCCAAATCCCAAGAAGCGCCGTATTTCGGCGCAGTCCACCAAAATCTAGGTCAAGCGACCTAGATAGGGGCACTTCTACCAACGACCCTATAAATAGGGAGATATTTCCCCATTTTGGGGACACATTCAATCATTTATTACACCTACCTTCTCTCTCATCAAGTCCCACCAGCAGCCGGGAAGAAAAGAAAGGCTCCTCTGCTGGTGGAGGTGAAGAAAGAGAAAAAATAGCAATCACTGACCGGGGAATGGTCAGATGAGCTCCGTCCCCAATCGGCTGGAGAACATATCGATATACCTCTGGACGACAGCCGTTCAGAACGTACTGTTAAGGTTGGGACGGCTGCTTATGCTAAGCTGGGTGCAGACCTGCACCTATTGCCAAAAGAATTCAAAGACATTTTTGCCTTTGAAGTGGAAGAAATGCCAGGCGTCAGCCCGGATCTTGTTGTCCACAAACTCGCCGTGGATCCTAAAAAGAAGCCCATCCGGCAAAAGAAAAGAAATCACGGCGAGGAATGAAGTCAGGCGGCAACTGCCGAAGTAAAAAAGTTGCTGGATGCTGGGTTCATTCGGCCATGCAATTTCCCCGACTGGGTGTTGAATGTTGTGCTTGTAAAGAAGCCGAATGGTACCCGGCATATGTGTGTTGATTATACAAACCTCAACAAGGCATGTCCCAAGGACAATTATCCGCCTCCAAAGATCGACAGTCTGGTCGATTCAACAGCCGGGCATGCCTTGATGAGTTTCATGGATGCCTACTCCGGCTTCCATCAGATACCCCTGTGGAAAACAGATCAACAGAAGACGGCCTTCGTCACTGATCAGGGGTTATTCTGTTACACTGTGATGCCGTTTGTCTTGAAAAATGCGCCGGCTACATTCCAACGGATGATTAATATGGTCTTCATTAATCAAAAGGGAGGAATGTGGAGACTTACATTGATGACATGATAGTCAAATCCAAGCAGCAGGCGGATCACCTTACTGACCTCCGAGAAACCTTCACCACCCTCAGGCGTCATAAGGTTATGTCAAATCCTAAGAAATGCGTCTTTGGTGTTGAGTCTGGGAAGTTTCTCGGATTCCTGATTGATCAAAGGGGGATAGAGGCTAATCTTGAGAAGATACAAGCGGTAATTGACATGATGTCACCCTGCACTGTCAAGGAAGCACAGAGACTAACCGGTTGCTTGGCGGCACTAGGGAGGTTCCTCAGCCGGTCAGGTGACAAATGCCTTTACTTCTTTCAAGAAATCAGGAAGAAGACCAGGTTTGAATAGGGGGATTATGCCAAGGCGGTCTTTCAAAAGCTGAAAGAACACTTGCACTCTTTGCCAAGGCTTGTTAGCCCTCTTCCCAAAGAGACGTTATACATGTACCTAGCCGTCCCAGATCATGCTCTCAATGTTGTTCTCCTTGTTGAGAGAGATGGCATCCAGCTCCCGGTCTATTTCATTAGCCATGTGCTAAAAAAATGCTGAACTCCGGTACCCCATAGTTGAAAAATTTGGCATCCAGCTCCGGTCTTTTTAATTAGCCATGTGCTAAGAAATTGAAGCCGTACTTTCTGGCTCATCCGGTTGTAATTTACACCGATCAGCCCCTCAAGCGGCCAATGTCTACCTTGGAGTCATCTGGCAGAATGTTGAAATGGGCTATTGAAATGCAAAGTCTTGAGATCACTTTTGAACCTAGAAAGGCAGTGAAAGGTCAGGCATTTGCCGACTTCATTGTTGAAATGACACGACCAGTACCACCGGATAACATTGATAAGGTTTGGAAAGTGTATGTAAACGGGAGCTCGACGAAGAACAGCTGCGGTACAGGACTTATATATGAGTCCTCTGAGGGTGACATATTTGAATATGCACTACGGTTTAATTTTCAAGCCTCAAATAACGAGGCGGAATATGAAGCCCTGCTAGCCGAAATCCGCATGTGTAAGGCAGAAGGGGCAACAAAAATTGACGCCTACTCTGATTCACAGTTGGTTGTAAGCTAGTATGAGGGAAAATATGAGGCAACTCATCCGGCTGTGATCAAGTATCTTCATGCAGTCAAAGAAGAGGCCGGGGCACTTGAAGAATTCTGTCTGAGTCAAGTGCCCAGGTCAGATAACAACCAGGCGGATGCATTGTCCAAATTAGCATCTTTCGCCTGCTGTGATACGCCTCGGTCAGTCTTTTGGGAAGTTCTGGAAAAAAGAAGTATATATGAAGAGCTCATTGGAATCCTGGACCGAAGCTCTACCTGGATGGATGACATCTGGGCATATTTAATAGATGATACACTTCCTGATTCACTACAGGAGGCAGATGTCATGACGAAGCGAGCAACAAACTTCGAGATGAGAAATGGAGAACTCTTCAAGGCGGGTTTCCTTAAACCTCTATTGAAGTGTGTTACCCTAGAAAAGGGTAAAGAAGTTCTTAAAGAATTGCATGCTGGATACTGCGTCTCTCATATAGGCTGCGGGTTTCTAGCCGTTAGAGCCAGGCGGCATTACTTTTAGCCTACTCTTGAAGCAGACGCTAAAGAGTTGGTGAAGAGGTGTGACAAATGCCAGAGGTTTGACAAGCTTATTCACCGCTCGGCTACTAATCTGACGGCAATCCACAACCCACTCCTGTTTGCTAAGCGGGGCATGGATATCTTGGGTCCTTATACGCCTGCACCAGGCGAAAAGCGTTATATTTTGGTGGCTGTTGATTACTTTACCAAATGGGTAGAGGCTGAGCCAGTCAAGAACATCAAGATAAAGGATGTCATCTCTTTCATTTGGAAGAACATAATCACCCGGTTTGGGGTACCTATGTCTATGGTGTTTGGTAATGGCCCTCAGTTTGAAACGCCTCAACTTAAGACTTGGTTGGGAGATTAGGGAATCTCACAATTTTTTGCATCAGTCGGCCGACCCTAAGCAAACGGCCAAGTTGAAGCCTTCAACAAGCTTATCTTAGACGGCATAAAAAAGAAAATTGAAAGAGCCGGTGGCTTATGGGCAGAAGAGCTGATTCATGTCCTATGGGCCATCCGGACAACTGCCAAAGGGGCAACCGGTGAAACCCCATTTCTTACGGTGTACGGTGCTGAAGCCAGCTTGCCCATTGAACATTACGAGCCGACTCTCAGAGTCATGCTTTATGATGAAGAGGCAAATTGGGAGGCCATGTGGCTGGTATTGAACTCCTTCCTGGAACGCAGAGGCAATGCTGCCCTGCGCCATGAGATATACCGTCTAAGAATGATGAGAGCCTACAACAAGAAAGTACACAAGCGCCCTTTGAAAGTTAGCGAATTTGTGTTACGAAAAATAGAGGCAACCGGTAGGGCCAATGAGTCTGGAAAGCTAACCCCCAATTGGGAAGGCCCCTACTGGATCTATGAAGAAGGCAGGGGTGGCACCTACCGTCTGGAAACCCCAAACGGCAGACGCCTACCTAGAACTTGGAATGTAGATAACTTAAAAAAGTACTACTTCTGAGGATTGTAAATTTTTGTAAACAAAGAGTCTATTAATGAGAAATTAGGCCTTATTTTCAAAAATGTTTTGTTATCTTTGCAATTACTTGTCCGCCTGGGTAATACTCAGACGGACTATTTGTTTAACCAACTAAGTTTGACACTTAGTGTAAATTCAATGTTATAATTACTTGTCTGCCTGGATAATACTCAGACGGACTATTCGTTTAACCAACTAAGTTTGACACTTAATGTAAATTCAATGTTATAATAACACGTGGCCAATGACCAGATTGAAAAAACTAAGCACAAAAACGCTTAGTGGCTATACAACCGGTCTTAAACAAGACCAAAGGCCAATGGCCGGATGTTTTCTTATTTTATAAAACCGCCTGTCCCAACATGGGCAATGGCGTCCGGCGACACCCCTCCGGGTGCAATCGTCGTAGAGAGCAAACTCTTCGTCAGTTCTACGTACCTATGCAGACGGCAAAGATTGAACGACAAAATTGGTCAACTCATAGTGGTCTACGATAACGATTAAGTTTCCGAATAACGGATGCCTTGAGGCATCAGTCGGTTACCGGCTGAAGTTTTTACTTAGATTATTTATTCCAAAGTTGAACTCTCTCTCCCAATTGGGAAAAAAGAGTTTGTGTAATGGCTATGCAACAATCCCAGACGGAATATTACCGCCTGGGTAATAGGCTAGAAGCACCCGTTCTAATGGCTGGATGTGCACTTGGTTTAGGGAAATCACCATTGTGATTGATTGGCCTAAAAATACCTCATTCTTCTCCAAGTATCAAGTGTTTTCATGCCAATCAATCAATTTGAAATAAAACCAACCACACAGCCGTCCAGGGGCAAGAGTAGCCGGATTGCAAATTGCCGCATGCTTTTTTAAGTTAGGCAAAATATTAAAGAATTGCAGTATATACGCAAAATTCTAATTGAAAAAATTCAAACACAAACATATATAAACAACCGACTGAGTCGGATTACTATATATTGAAAATGGCACAAAGGCATAAATAATTGTTAACCGAAATAACATCCGGAGAAGAAGCAAAAGAAAATTGTTTACCCAACTCCACAGTTGGTAAATATACAACATACTCGGCTTACAATCCGGAAAAGAAAGCAACTTGGCATACTGCCGCTGAATTTGGGGAGGCTGATTCAAGGCAGAGGGGGAAGCTGCTACTCCGGCTGGTTCTGACCGGCTGGGAGGGCTTCTGATTGGTCATCAGCCACCTGAGGCTGGATGCCTTCATTTTGTTCGTCCTCCACCGGCTCCTCATTATCTGAGACTTCATATCCCAGCTCTGTAGCCCAATCCTTGAAGCGAGGCGGAGCTGCCTCTCCTAGCACTTGGGCATCATACACCGCAGTGGCGTAATCATACCTAAGTTTGTAGACTTCAAAGTCCACATCCGGATAGAGGAGCCCCCATGCTATCTTTAGGCGGGCAGCATTTTCCTGCTCATTCTCCTCGCTCAGTCGGGTCTGCTCCTTGGTAATCTCATCTGCCTGCTGATTCCGCAGATTGACGATCTCCACCCCCAAGCTTTTGACGTCTGCCCGGAGCTTTGTGTTCTCCTTGTCAGCGTCTTCTAATGCCTTGAGTTCAGATTGAGCATCCTTCAGTTTTACCTTAAGGTCATTAGTCCGGCTGGTGGCTTTATCATTCGCAGCTGTCAAGCTCCAGATCAACTCCTCCTGTTTCAACTCTATTGCTTTAATCTCTAAATCACACATATAATTAGCATATTCAGCAGAGTTGAGGTTTTCAAGGGCCCCCCATTTGGCGTCATTTACCTCTTCTTGCTTCCGCCTAAAGGGGCCTCGGAGCCCATCCACTCTTAGCATTACCTGAGAAAAAGGGGCAGCCGGATTATGAAATACTTGATAAAAATGAAGAAAAAAATATCAAAATTGAGCTGAAGAATATTTTACCTCAGCTAGTTGGCCCATTATCCGGTCAAAGTCCACCATCTGCAGATCAGGTATGGAATTTTTTATCTGACCGGGTGAGGGTCCTCACCATCCGTTTGGCAAACCCAACAAGATCCGGCCCGTTGGATGTAAGATCTGAACCAAAAGAATTAGAAGTACTTGGTGAGAAGGGTGCAGCATAGTTGGCATTCATCCGTTGCCGGCTGCTGACTGAACCCCTAAGGGGTCTACCTTAGTATTGACTCTCATGAAGTCAAGTGGCCAAGGTATTTCAATCTTTCCCTTACCTTGGATTTCCGGATGGGGCTTAGGAATCTCCTTCTCTCCAGTTGTTGCCGCACCGGCTGCAACATTAGGTGGCTGGCAACCCTTCGATGCTGTAGAGACATCCGACGCATTCTTCTGCGAGCGTTCTGAGCTTTCACTCAGAATTTTCATTGCAGAAGGAGATTTACCCCCAGTCGTGGGACGACCCGGGTTGGCAGTAGAGGTTGACTGGGGGGGGGGGGGTCCCTCCTGGCGGTCTTTGCAGCCGGGGTCTTTTACAGATCCTCCCCTTGCCTTTTAAAAAGCTTGGAGATGGAGCGTGGAACGCGTTTAGCAGAGTCTTGCAAATTAAGAACTAAATGTTACCATCCGGCAAAAAACCTTTGCAAGAAATGTAAAGAAAAAACTAAAGTCAGGCGGTCTTACCCCGCCTTTCTTGGCCTCCTTGGCCTCAACGGCTGCTCTCTTTTAGAGCGCGCCCTTTCCTTGCGCAGTTGTGCTGCTGACTTAGCCAGAGTTTTGGTTGGGTCAACCATTTTCAAGGCGTCGACTGCAAGGAGAAAATAAAAGTTAGAAAAAATCATAAAAAGTTTGTAGTACAAAATAAAAACTACAGACATGTCGGATGCAAGTGGATCTACCCTTGGGAAACATGGGGCTTAACCCACAGGCGGACAAAAAGCATTCATCTTTGAAGTAGTCCGGGTGGGGGATCTAGTTTTTCGAAAAAAATGATGTGAGTCCCATCCCCCAAGGGCTCAGTAGTGGTTTCAAAGAAACCCGACTCCATTATTTGCTCCCGGGCCCTAGTAGAGAGCGTGGGGAGGGGGCATTTCCTGCCCATAAGAACCGATTCTTGATTGTACCGGCGCAATGTCTGGTTGTGTCTCAGGGTTGGTGAAGAAATTAAATAAAACCTGTCTTTCCACCCTGACCACTTGGACACCTTATCCAAACTCATCAAATACTGGGGCATGGTGGAAAGAGTGTACCATGCCCCGTGACCGCCTGGGACCTTGCTCAAGTAATGCATGTGAGCGAAGGTAGAGAAGCTGGGAGCCAAGTTTTGGAGCTCATAGGCGGAAATGTAGCTCAGAATATTCACCCACGAGTTGGGGGTGAGCTGCCAAACTCCTAGATCATACCCTTTCAAGATTTTCCTAATCTCGGTATGGAGGGGGAACCGGAGGCCGATTTCTATTACCGCCTCGTAGCAGACAAAATAATTGTTTGCATTCTCTATCTTGTCATCCCATGCCATCACTGCATCAGCAGGCGAGATGATAATATCCCACCCCTTTCCAAAGGGGTGCTTTTCCTTGAAATCCCTGAAGCCACTCTTCAGCAGGGCTATGTCACTCGGAAGCATCCTAATTTTCTTCGGGTTGGGGTTGTCAGCAACTTTCGCCGGCTGCTGATAGTCAGTCGCGAAATTATCTTGATCGGAGCCAGAAGTCTCGGCCCCCGATCTTTCAGCGGCCTCAGTACTGCCGGATCCTTCCCCGGATCCATTAGAGGAGGCGACTTCTTCACCGTCTACCTCGCGTACGCTTGAGCTCCCGGAAGAAGAGGGAGCCTCTTCATCAGAATTGCCGCTCCCCTCAAATCCTCATAATCCTCATCCGGAAAAACTTCGTCGGCAGGCACTTATATAGTGCGCCGGCTCTTAGACTTTCTGTAACACCCCAATAATTCTCTCTTAAAAACTTTTGATTAACCTGAACAATTCCAAGAGAATTACTGGCGTGCTACCGCCACGTGTTCAAACGTTAAGGCTTTTTTAGAAAATAGCAGCGGAAAAACTAATTCAGTTTTAAATAAGTTTCAAAACCAATAACCAAATTAAATCATACAACTTGGAACCATTAAGGCCCTTATTCAAAACCCCACAAAAGTAGTAAATAAATAAACCAGAGTTTAATAAAATTCAAACTTATGAAAAGAAATAAACTGCGAATAATTACCAACTCTCCACTCAAAATCCCACAACCCTGATGCGAATGCTGCGTGTGTAAGAACCTGTGGTTAACCTGCTCCCCAATATTACAAGTGTAAAAATTGGATCGTCACAGGGTCATTGAAAGGCGAAGGCCATGGCCAAAGAAAGACACACAAAACACGCAATCAACAAAGCTGAGTACACATAAGTTGCAAAACATAAAAGAAATCCCTAACATGATACTAATAATCAACCATTACGCATCATTAGTTTATAGACTCGGCAAATGACTCAACTATTTATATTACTAAGACTCCATTAATTAATAATAGGTAAATCATTATTTTTATTCATTGGATTATGCAATAGACAAGGTTGTCCAACCCATGCTCCATTTGGAACATCAATAAAAGAAAAACCCCATGCCTCATTTCGGAAACACCAATAAACATCCAACGACCACGGGCGCGACTCCGTGACTGTAGTTAGTATGAGATCTCACCTAAATCCTAGTTTTAAAAAATAATATTTGAAATAGGAGACTCGTAGATCAGACGACCTCGATAAAAGTACACGGCTAATACCCCATGAACCCCAGCCCCTGATTGTCATTATTCCAGATGTGCACCAATCCAGAGTTTTATTACTCATCCATCTTGCACTTTACGTGATTTACATGTTTAGACTTAGTGATGACTCATATGCATAACAATACAAACATTCTAAACACAATTCAATCAAACAAGGCAAGTTTCCAATTTCAATTCTTGATTTATTAGTGACAAACAACACTTATTATTTATTCCTTTACTACCTCGGTGTATAAACACCTTGAGTGCATAAGGCACCCCAAAACCTTAACCTCGTCTTATAAGACTTGAATTCTTCCTTTACTCATTCTGTTTGCATAATCATGAATGAGTAATAAATTAATCTTTACACCAATCACATACCTTTGCCTTTAAGCGCACCTTGCATAATTAGAGCACAAATAATACTTGCATTATAAACTAGTGCACATCATTTGAAATTCACAATGTATAACCAAACTATCTAACCTAGTCAATCCTATACATGATACTAAGTTCTCAATCTGTCCTTAAACATGCACCTACAAGCAAGGTTTCGTAACTTGTACGTACCTTGAGCAAACGAATTGGTATGCCACTTTACTATCTAGAAATCACCTTCAATAAATTCCTCTCCTAAACCAAACAATAATAGCTCAATCAATACCCAATCAATCAAATTTACAGCAATACTAACTTACTTTAAAACCTTCAAAATCCAAATCAAACATCACTTTAAAACCTTCCCTTTAGTTAAAATTAAAGGCTTATATATAGTTCTTTAAATTTTCTTCATAAAAACCTTAAAATACACTCTTATACATGAAATTACAGCAAGTTTAAAGTTTAATAAAAATCTGAAAATTGTTTAAAAACCCCTAATAATCTCCCTTTTTAATGGGTGATTAAACCCTTTTTATAAAACATCAAAAGTTGTACTTAAAACTATTTCCAGCACTTAAAGCTTCAATAAAAATATATATTTATGCTTAATTAACTTTAAACATAATTAAATTTATTAATCAAACTCAAGGATAATATTTTAAGTATAAAAAAAAACTTCATTAAAATCAAAAACTGCTCGAAAATCATATTTAAAGGCTGAATTTGGCCACGAGAGGGTGGTGCTCACTACCATAGGTAGTGAGTTTTTCTTAAAACGTTGTTTCTACATGGAAAACCATACTTGTTTTTTTTTTTATCAAAATCGGATGAGTTCATAACCTGACCGGGATTAAAACGGGATTAATATTAACGAACGAAAATTTAAAAATTAAAACACGAATTTAAGTGTTCAAAATAATCTGGAATTAAGTTAAACTAATCATTAGTTATAATCACCAAAATTTCAAAACATCATTACTATAAAAGCCCTAAATCAATTGTTCATAAAACTCCTAAAATCATGATTTTCAATAATTAAAAACCCTAGGTTATAAAATTTACAAAATCTGAAAATTTTGTCACTTATAAAATATGAAATTATAAAGTTTAATCATCAAAATACAATTTGATACTAATTAAATTAATTTCAAACAATAAAATCAAAACCCATAAATCAATAATTATAATTACACCAATTAATAAAAAAAAGGAGAAAATAAGACTAACCTTTTTGTGTGGGAAAATTTTGGGGATTAATGGGGTATTTATAGGAGAGAATTGTAGGGTAAATAGGAAGATTGGTCCTTATAAAAATAATGGGTCGATTAAGTAAACAAATGGGTTAGACTTGTGTGATTGGACATAAATTTGTAGAATAAAGGTGCATAAAATAATTTGTTCAAATAATTTTCGACCCAGATTAATAATTTGAAACTTTGGAAATTAAATTATGAAAAATAACAAATAAATATTATAAATAAACATTTATAAAATATTTAAAAATATGGGGGATTACACTTTCTGGCCGTCTGTTTGACTCTGATCATTGTGTCATGCACAGGCACAGAGAGGGAGGAATTCGGAGATGAGCACAGGAGTTCCGACAGTATAGAAAAGGAACCCCCTATTC